GGTTTTAGTACCGTGTGGAGGATAAGGAAAAAAGGAAAAAAAAAAAAAAAAAAAAAAAGACTGTTTGCTGTTTTAGTAATCAAGAATTTGTAGTGACTCAGGTTTGTACTCAGAATGGAAAAATGGAAAAAAGACTAAGTTTGCACCCATTCTGGTACCAAGTACCACCTGGAAGCTACTAGGTATAGAACCTTATAAAGTACGCCAAATATTTTTAAATAGCAATTTTTAAGCTCCTCTCCTATCCTTTAGAAAATGATCACCCTAATTATATGCTTTAGTGCCACACAACCACAGAAAAATAGGATATATCAAAGGCTGAAATAACAGGGATAGGGTGGAGTCTCAAAGATTTCTAGATAACTGCTTTCCAAAATTTCCTATTTCCCAACTGATTCTCGTCAAATCACACTTCAGGGGTCACTTCAGAGGCAAAACCTCCAAGGGATGAGAGTAGTAGCAGCGATTTTCAAAATTCCCTTTTAAAGGGAAATTTGCAATATAATTTATACAACACAATACATATTAAATTAGCACTTCTTCCCTAGCCCTTGTTAAGCCCAAAGTATTTCAAGACCATAATTAGAGCTTAAAACTGTGTGGCGCCACTCTTAGGCCATATTTCCTTTTATGCAGTTTTCATTTTGCAAAGGAATTTCTAAAACCTATTTTCATGCTGTCCCTACGCCAACAAATTCAAAGGCAGGAAAACAGTCTTCTGGCTTATTTGCCACATCTGTGGGAGCAATCAGGACACCTACTTCCCAAACTACCACCCAAGTAAAACTTCTCAAAGTGTCAAAAGGCACATACATAAAAACACCAAGTCCCTTTAAGCAGTAAAAGTGGTTTAAAACGCCATCAGTGGGGTTTGGTAAACAACTGTCCCTAAGACCAAAATAGATAAACAAGTGGGAACAGCATGTCTAAATCTACTTCCCTAATAAAGTACTGCTTTAAAAACTCGGGCAGAACTGCACAAATTTTAATGTAGAACGAAGTCATCAAACAATCTGTAGTCAAACGCCTGCGCAGAATTCTTTTCTGCCTCAAAGCCTGCAATTCGAACAGTAGGTGACAGAAGAACCCTGGGACTCCCACACCTCCAGTCTCGGCTGTGCTGTCCGAGAGGACCCCGGGTCCAGGCACGCACCCGGGGAGAGGTAAGGCTGTCTGAGTCACGCACAGGAAGGAACGTGAAGCTGGTGGACAGTAAAGGAGAAGAGAGGCAGGCGCAGGGTCGGAGGCTGGGGGGACGGGGTAGGGGGTTGGGGAGGCAGGAGGCACCTTCTCATTTGGGCTCCCCAGGGGCAGGGGTTCAGCCCTTTTAGGGAAGAAACTGCCAAAAAGCCAGTCCTGACGACTGAGCTCCCTCCGTAATCAGGGTCACGACAAGGCCACATCTGTGAGAAAAACGGTGTTTCGAAGGATTCTCCATCATGCCCCCGCCCGTCCCCGAGGGTTAGGTCGACCACGGCTTTGGACACTAGGCCCTCCCGCTGTCGCAAGCCCAAGAGAAACAGAAAGAAGAGAGAAGAGAGGACTATCGCCCCCGGGACGGCCCGACCCTCACCCCCAGGGATGTGAGCGATAGGCCCCGAAAAGCAAGGCCTCGCCACCCTCGCCCCTCCCGCCGGCCGCCGCGGCTCCATGGCGCCCTCAGCAGCTCAGCCATGGTCCGGAGCCCCGATCCCCTCTGGCGCTGGCCCGTGGACCCCAACCTTGTCAACCCACTCCTCCCCTCACCAGCTGCCGCAGCCACCTCCGACGCCCGCCGCTTTTTGGGCCGAGTCCCCCCGCCGGGGCTTCCCTCTCTGACCTCATTTCCGGTCTGGGCCGGAGGGGTGGGACGGTAGTGGAGTGGGAAGGGCTGACCGCGATAGAGGGCCCGCCCCGCCCCAGCGCTTCCGCCCCCGCGGCCCCGCCCACGTCCGCCCACGGTGAGCGGAGCCACGGGGAAACCCGAGGTGGGGCCAGAGGCAAGGAGGGGGCTACTGCCAGGACTGAGGTGATCGTGAGGGAAGACACTCGAATGCTCATCTTTTTTCGGGGCGTTAGGCTGAGTGTGTGAAGTTGAGAAGAAATGGATCTCATTCTTCACTATGAGAGTTAGCACAACCTTTGGGAGCGGCTGATTTTACAGAGTTACTCAGAACATTAAAAAAACACATGCCTTGAGCAATAAAACAAAGTAGTATTGAATTATAACTCAAAGTATAAAAGAAATATCATAAGCCCATACTGATGTAATTCAGTGATTAAGTTAATAAATGGTGAAGAAGAGACAAATCTACAGAAGAATCCCAAATAATTTATGTAGATACTCCACTGTGGAGCCTAACGCCCAACTCCTTAAGTGTGGGCTGAGTGTAGTGACTTCCTTCCAAAGAATACAGTATGGAAAGGGGGAAAAATTAGTAACTTTCAGTGAAGACACCTGACAAACACTACCACAGCTGGGTGATCAAGGTTAACATCAAAAGCGATCAATCATGTTGACAGTATATGGACTTCATATATGACAAGAATGGCACTGTATGGTACTTTCCTCCCAAAACCCATAACTCTAGTCTAATCATAAGGAAAAAAAATCAGACAAACCCCAACTGAGGAACATTCAACAGAATACCTGAGCAAAAATTGAAGTCATCAAAGACGAGGAAAATCTAAGAAACTATCACAGCCAAGAAAAGCCTAAGGAGACATGACAGCTAAATATAATGTGGTATCCTGGAATATAAAAAGGACATTAGATAAAAACTAAAGAAATCTGGGTAAAGTATGGATTTTAGTTAATAACAATGTGCCAATATTGGTTAATCATGACAAGTGTGCTATATTAATGTAAGATATTAATAATAGGGGAAATTGGGTGCGGGTTGTATAGAAACTATAGTATTTTCATAATTTTCCCCTAAACCTACAACTGTTTTAAAATAAACGGTTTATTTTTTAAGATGCACATGACTTTTGACCCAGAAATTCTGCCAGTAAGAATTTTATTCTAAGGAATAATTGGAAGTGGGCACAAAAATTTTAAATTCAGGTAAATTTATTTCTGCCGTATTGCTAAGAGAGGGATGAGGAGATTAAAAGTCAGGAATCTTTCAACAGGGGTTAGTTAACTAAATTATGGTACATCTACGGATGGAATACTTTGCAGCCTTGTTAAATCGATTTTGTAAAAGAATATTTAATGACATGAAAAGTCATAGATTTATGATTGTATACATTTCTACATGACTGTTATACTTCAGTAAAAAGGTTACCCTAAAAATGTAGAGTATGATTCATATATAAAGGAAATTAAATCAATACTTGCATAGGAATATGACCAAACTAATACACTATACTACATCCAAAATAGTTCCAGTATGAATGATTATATCTCCTACCTGATGTTTTTGTGTATTTTCAGAATTTTCTATAGGTGAAACTTATTGTGAAAAGAGTCAGGGGACGAGACAAAAAAAAAAAAAGAGAGAGAGAGAGAGAAAGACAAAGATGACTGAGGTTTCGAGCCAGAGTGGCTGGAGTGACTACAAGAATGTTCAGTGCCATCTGCACAACTAGAGAAGTTAAGAAGAGAAACAGGTTTGGTGGGAGGATGATTAATTCCATTTTGGACATACTGAATTTGTGACTCCCACAGGACAGAAATATGGAAATGTTCAAAGGTGTCCAGCAGCCAGCAGCCCTTTTTTTCTGCTTAAGTGAAAATTCTCTCCCGTAAATCACATCCATTCCCATGATGTCAGTTGCCTCCATCAGCACTGAAAGTCCCGAAATTTCTTGAAATCCAGCTTTTATTGTCAGCTTTCTGCTAGATATCTCCACTTGTTTACACCACCAGCGTCTCCAATTTAAGATGTCAAAATAAAGCTTAGTTTCTTCCATAGTTCCTATCAAGTCTGCCACTTCTCTACTGTTCCCTGCTTGGGAAATATCACCACCACAAATAGTCACCAAGGTGAGAAGTTTCAGGGCTGGCTGGTTAGTTCAGTTGGTTAGAGCTCAGTTGGTGAGAAGTTTCAAAACCATTTTTGGTTCCTGCTTCTCCTTATACCCCTTTATCTAGTTAAATGCTAAGCCTCATGGATTGCACTCCTACAGTAGTCTTGTGTCCATTGTCCTTGTTTTCACTGTGCCATGGGCCTTCTTTGGGCTGGAAACCACTCTTCTGGATGATGCAGCAGCCACCTTACATGTCTTCCCACCTGCAGCCTCTCCCCGCAAAAGCCATTCTTTTTACTGGCACTAGAGTGAGTTTCCTCAAACACAATTTGGATCATGTCACTTCATCCATCTTCCACTACCTCCTGCATCATGCTTGAGCACACTATACCACTTGCTGGTTCTTGAACATCCCTGGGATTTGGGTGATTTAAAGGCTCAATGCAAATGTCACCTCCATGAAGACCTCCCTTTGCTTGCCCACTCCTTTGGCTTTCTCTGAGCACTTGCCAGTGTCTTCATTACAGCACTTTCTTCATTCAGCTTTGAAATAGAGCCAATTATGTGTGAGTTTGCCTCCCCACCTAAATCACTCATTCCACAAATATTTACTTAGCACCAGCAATATGCCTCGTCCTGTGCTAAGCTCTGGAGATTCTTGTATAATTACGTGAACAAAAACGAAGCCTACTCCATTGTCTCGGAGACCCTGTCCTATTCATCATATTCTCACCAGCGCCTAGCACAGTGCTTTGCACATGGTAGGTGCTCAATAGCTATTGTTAATTAAATATTAAATACTTGTTTACTAAATGCTGGGTCAGGAGAAAACTTTAATGAAAGCTCTGCTTTCATGGGATGGTGGAAGACATCAACAGAGCCACACAATAAAAGACGATAGCAAGAGAAGTCTGTGGGGGACAAAGGGGATGGCTCAAAAGGAACAGAGAGCATTTGAAGTGAACTAGCGTATAAAAGCCAGAGGAGGCAGAGTTTTAAGAAAAAGAAGACCAAAAGGAAAACTGGAGGTGAGCAGTTCTAAGGAAAGGCCATCACCCTTGTTGACTAAGGAAGTCACTGACGGTCAGGAGGTTTGAGCAGACTGCAAGCAGGCAACGATGGGGGAAGGACGGAAGGAGGTGAGGGGGGAAGCTCCGTAACTGACTAGCATGTCCAGAGTTGGCCGCTTAACCTCTTCGAGCTCTTGCTTCCTCATCTGTAATATGGAAATAATAATAGTACATGCCTATCTCTTGGATGGAGAGGAAATGATGAATTCAAAGCATTTAGCACAGAGCCCGACACAAATTAACTATTCCAAAAGTATTAGTAGTTTACTGAGAAGAGTCTATCAACAGGTTTCCCTCAGTTAACCATTAGAGTGAAACTGTTAGTTGAA